CCGGGCACGGCGCACAGCGGCGACTGATCTCGCGAGAGCGGAGCGCGCGGCCGGGGAAGCCGAGGGATTCCCCCGGCCCCGCTCGCGGGAGGGGCCGGGGGTGGGAGGGACCATTCGGGGCACGGAGGGGGGGGCGGGGCGGTGCCAGCGCGCGGGGATCGGCACAGGGACGCGGCTTCCTCCTCCCCCACCCTCGCGGGACGGTGGCGTGGGAGCGCCCGCCTCGTGGTGCCCGCGGGCCCGGCACGTGCGCGGCCTAGGGACACGAGCAAAGGGATCGGGATCAAGGACCCGGCCACGCGGGGCTGGGAAACAGGGGAGCGGGAAAGGACGTCGTTTTCTTCCAAGTGGTGAAAAAGAACTTAGCAGCAGGAGGCCGGGATTTGGAGGCACAGCCGTTAGAAAGGTCTGTCACGTTTCTTATGGAGGAATGTCAACATCACTTGTTTTAGGAGTCGGTTTTACATTGAAAGCCCAGTTTCATAATACTGTTTCTATCTGCAGCCGAAGTGCGTAAGGTGCGTTTGTTCAGCAAACAGGAGCAGTGGCGTGTGCCAGAATTCCAGCCAGCACAGCGAGCCCGCCGTGACAGAGGGGACGGGAGTCACCTGGAGCTGCCGGGGTGCGCCGGCGTTTGGAAATGGCAGAAAAAGACGACCCTAATTTTAGATTCATTTAACATTAGCGCTTCAGGGGGGCAAGGAGAAGGTCTGATTGTCCATTAGGAGACCATGTTTGAAAATTAATCCTTTTACGTCAAGAATTCCGTCCATTCAGCCTCTTCCATGTCTTTAGTACAAGGTGTCAATCGAACTTCGGGCACAAATGCCACACTGATTTAAAGATTGCTGAGATTACAAAGGCCACACCACTCTTATTGCTTTAGCTCTGCACCTCTGCTGTCTCCCAAATTATGGAAAAAGATAATATTTCAGTAATCTCGTAAATATGAGTTTGAGTTTCTCTCCCACATACTCTGTCCACTGCTAATACTAATTCAATGAATAATGTCGCAGATGAGTAAAATCATGTTTTAAGAGACTGCTTGGTGACAGAGTTTGCTGTAATTCTACTCACTGTACAAACAGCTATTGTCTCCTGTCATTAAGGGACTTTCCCCATCATGATTTCCCCCTCCCCGTGAGGTGAGGTGGGAGAGGACTTTGATTGCCTCCCTTGTAGGCACAGTTCTCGGCAAAAGCACAGTGCATACTGGAATTCCTCTGTGTTGTTTGCAAAGAGCAACTCATAATCCCTTTGGAAATCTCTTTCTAAAAACATCTCTCTCTCTTTTTTTTTTTGTCTCCCAAGGCTAAAGAATGATCTCAGCTCATGCTAACTCCATTCCATTAGGAGTAGTTTCTGGATATTTGCCATGGACTGTCTCTAGATGGTCATTTTATGGGGCCTCTCTTTTAGTGTGTTTTGAATCCAACTGGAAAAACTAAAAATGCAGACACAATAATCTGCAGTGTCTAAACTCTTTTAATAGTTTACAAAGAAGGCACTTTGATTAATAACCAGATTAATTGGGCACTGGAGCAGGTATATTATTTCAAAGAATTAATAATTATAGAAAACATTTTTATCCTTTCCATCACTGACAGCAGTACATTATGAAACAACCAACCATTGATTTTCTTTTTTTTTAAATTATAGACAATGTGCATTTCAAAAAGCCAGGAATACTATTCAAATAAAAAACAATGGCCTGAACTTAATGTGAGTAGCTGGTGGAAGAAAAGATAATAAGCCACAGAGGGTTTTTTAATATTGTTTATGCATTGAATTTTCTTCTTACTGCTAAAAGTTTGTATTTCACATAGAGTGTGAGCAATTCCTATTGACTTTATTGGAAACTGAAAGCATCTAGTACCTCAGGGAACTAGACCTCACTTTCTGGCCTGTAATGAGTATAAGCACTTCCAGAGCTGAGGTAGAAGAACGAATCTAAATATAAGGTTTGCACCAGTTAAAATTTTGTGTTTGCTGTGCAAATCAGAGGTTTGACTTTTTGACTTAAGCCCAGCTGAGGTTGACAGAAGTGTTCTGAATCAGGCCCATCACTTCAGAGACAGTTTGGAGAAGCACAGCTTGGAGGTGCCCTTTGAAGGACATGGTTTCCATGCCTCACTTGTCTTCCAAGCAGATGCTCTGCCAGGTGACCCCATCTAGGTGCTCAGAATCATGAGCCACCTTCAAAAATGGAAGGCTGTTAAAGCAGGAAATTGAGTTTACTCTGTTGAGAGACAGGACAACCTCCAACTTTGTATTCACCAATGCATGCAGATGTGGACAGAGCCCCTTAGCCAATACTAAGTGGATGCAGCTTCACCTGGGAATCCATATGGTTCTCAAGTCCTCTCGGAATCTTGCTTCATGTGGAAAGAGGACAAAAGAGAGCCTAGCAAGAACTCATGGAGTCATGAGGGATGAGGCCCTTTATGTGGATGGGGAGGAGGTCTTTTGGCCTGGAGTTTTGTCCCATCATTGGGACAAAACAGAAGCTGCTGACCAGTAGTGCTCAAGCACCCCAGGTTTGGAGGAGAAGGGCAGGCAGGAGCAGGGAGCACTGGATGCGAGCTGTAATAACTGGGCTGAAGATTTCAGCAGCTTGTTTGGCCAGTCCAGACCAAACTTTTTTCAGCTCAGCCTTGGCTCTAGGCTTCCACTAAGCTGATTTCTTTGGGCACAGCACTAGCTAATAGTCTTCTCATTTGACAACAGTATCCTGCCTCACTGGCTTGGAGAAAATGAGAAAACAATAGACCTGCATCCTTTTATGTAGAAGCAGTCCCATGTCTCTTATGTGCTTAGCAAAAGTATGTAAGAGATGGCCAAGGTTACAAGAATCCCATTCTCAGATCAGCCTATCTTATAAAAAAAGGTCACAATGTGTCCTATAAAATCTCAGCTATTTTAAAACCCAGCGACCTTAAAAAGCATTGCAGGTAGTAGAACCACAGTTATCTGGATCCTCATTATAAGCAGCAGGTTTATCTTGAGATGTTGCAGTTTGTATCTGGTGGTATAAATCACACATTCTAGTGGCGGGTACTGGGATACAACCCTGGTGGAATTTCATAAGCACAGGATGTACAGCGTGGTTGAACTGCATATCTGGGAAAGAAAATAAACAGGCAGTTGCCCACAGAACATCTCTTAGATCTGAACTTGGGATGCATATGCCAACAAAAGTTGTTGCTTAAGCTGTTAGTCGATCAGCTTGATGTCAGAAGTGCCTCTCCTGTTTGAAATTGTGTTCAGCATAGCTCAGAGAATTTGCAACGTTCTCTTGAGGGTGACAGGGAGAAAGAATAGGCTAGTTAGCAGTCTGCAGCAGGAGTGCTGTTAAATAGTTTTTGCTTGTGTGTCATAATCTCAAAGAGGATGGTAAAGCAAAGAAAAATCTGAATCTGCATCTTAATGTGGGTTCAGGTACAAGTGTGGGAGTACCCAAAGGCTACAGTTGGGTTTGGGGCTCCCTGTGGTATTGCCTTGAAAGCAAGTACAGTACCTTTCCAGAGTGTTCTTATAGTGTAAAGACAAGATGCAAGGAGTATAGCAAACAATAGGAAGGAAGAGGGGGAGGGAAGATGAGGTTAACAGTAATAACATCATGTGGTTATGTAGGTTAACAGTGTGAACAGCTTGATGACTGCTTTCAGAAGTTTTATTTTAAAATACTCTTATTTTAAAATACTTTTATAGAACACCCTGTTAAGACATTTTGCATTGTATTAAATTTTGCTTCTTACCCTACCCCAGAAAAGGATCCACTTATTTTCCATTGGGTAAAATTTCCTGTCTGTCTACATGTAAACTATCCTGCATTCCTCCTTAGTTTTACTGGACTCTTCAAAGAGCCCATCTCTGAACTTCTCTTATGCAGCAGTGCTCCTCCACTTGCATACATGATACCTGTTCTCCAGTTAAGCATGACACTGGGTTATTCCCTTAGCCCTGCTCTCTGCACACAGCTCTCTGCAGTGGTGGCTGGTGCCATCAGCCTCCACACTCTCAGGGTGCCCCTCAGGTACCATCAGACTTCACAGAATGATCTGGAGGGTAAAATGTCCTGGGGGCTGGCAGAGCCTGCCCACCACACACCAAGTACTGCCAAGCCCTTGCACCCCAGCATTCACAGCCACAGGCACTGGCAGAGGGGGGTTCCCCAGGCACCTCCTTGGTGCTGCTGGGAGCCTGACTCCCATGCTGCCTTCACCTTCTGCCACGGCTAGTGTGTGCACCCACCAAACCAGTTCTAAGATTAAACCATAGTATGCAGGGTTACAGAGGCATTAATTACAAGGAGTGCAGCAGGATAAACTCTAAAAATCTCCATGCTTCCAGAACACAGAGAAGATACAGTGCCTTTTCAGTCTGTCTGCTCCCTGTAGGACTGATTGTGAGCAGAAGACACCAAAGGAAGTTAGTTGCATCCTGCGGAAATCAAGAAGAGAGGAAAGATTGAACCAGTTGATGAGACTGTGAATTATCACAAATAATTAACGAAGTAAAAGGAAGATTTAAAGATTATGATATGGCTCCAGATGTTTTATTGATTTTATTCATATATAAGTACAAATTGAATTTGCAATGCTACGGTTCTGAATCAGTGTGGAAACAGATGTCTTTGTGGAGAAAAACATTTTAACCAAAGGTGCTGTTGCAGTTTTGTTGTTTTCCTGATGTATATTAGTTCACCATGTACACTGCCAGAGGCGTGCTCACACCCAAGACTGTAATTTGGTGACTGAGTTACAGCTGATTTTTTCAACTAGCCTGCTCTCCCATTCGTGAGGCTCTTTGAGAAAATGTATGCTGACATGCTTCACCTCCACTGTAAGTAAAATGCATTTTTGGAAAACACAAAGAATGAAAACTCATTTGGTTCAACAAAACACAAGAGAAACCCACACTCTTGATTATACACATTTTTCCTACCTGAGGGAATAGTGTAACAGAATAGTACTTAAGGGAATTTCAGACTAACTACAGTAAGGTATAAAAAGCCAACTCATCAGACTACTCTAAAAGAAAACCACAAACTGCACATAACCTCTTGATAAAACTACCACTAAAAACCCATTTGCCATTATAAACCATCCCATTTTATTGTGTACTACAAAAGTCTTTGGCCCAGTCATAACCACATGTCAAATGGGACAGAATGTGGACAGAAATCCTTAACCTGTAATTCTAAATACAAATACATGCACACAGGAATTCTCACTATGGCTAGAGAGAGGAGTCAGGAAATTAAATGCTTCACAAGGACTATAAAGTTAGGTACCACATAAATGCGATTTGGAGAATTTAGTGATGGTTAAGCTTCATGCTGGTCCTGCACGATGAAGTTAAACTAATTTTGTATGTTTAGGGGCTTCAGACTGTCTGTGGCCTCAGGCTATGAAGATAATACTTGTTTTGGGGCTGTTTCTTTATTTAAAACATTGAGGAAGTTATACACTCCTGAAACAGAAATTCTTTAATATAGTCTAAAGGCATGGTCAAGGAACACATAATCCTAAAAAATAATTATCTTGTAATACTGCCATGTTGATATCTATTTGGATTATTTATTTTGTCAAGAACATTTGCACAAATTCTAGTTGTTGTGGACTTAGTCTAGTTTTCATACTACTCTCATTTTGAACCTCTGTGTTCTGTAGACCGTTTTCTATAATCCTCATCCTGAAAAAAGACACACTATTTCTGGCAGTAATTGTTGAAAATAAATTCCATAAAAATTTCATGAGAATATTCCATTGCTCAGATCTGCAGTCGTTGACACCTTTTGAATTTTTTCTTCTCAGGGGATTACACATGACCTTTTAATGCTAAAGTTCATTAGTGCTTGGATATCATATTGATGAGCTTCATATAAATGAATGGAAGAACTGATAAGTCATAACTAAGGTAATGAGCTTATAGCTGTTAGGGAGGTAACTGAAGACATGTCATGTGTGATAACTAATTAAAGAATTTCTCTGTAATTTCTCTGTAATGTTGTCAGTCTTGATTCAGAATTCACTCTCTCT